ATAATACAAACATTTTCTTATATGCTATATGGACGCTTATGGAAGATTTTTATTTACAACAGTATTTAACATTCTATAATTATTTCTGAAGTAAGTTTTATACATAAAATATTTATATAAAATATTTACAGTAATACAACTATGTCCTGATGAGATCCTATGAAAAGATCCCAGGACATCCCGGGACATATTCAGGATGATCCTGAGGACGTCCTGTGCTATCTGGGTAGTCACACGATAGTGATTTAATGCGTAATATATGTGTTATACAAGCAAGTGGTTCCAAGCAATGATAACTTATTAGAAAGAATTACCTAAAAAGAATTTTTCTTTATAATTTTATATTTTCCGCTAATTTGGCTGAAGTTGCCAACGCTGCTGCTAGGATGCGCGCACCGCTTTCTTCCTCATAGATTATTGGTCGCTGTTTTACTCGTGTGCGAGGATTGGTCGCTGTTGAGATCCAGTATCTATTATTGGCTCTAGGGAGCACGTGATATCGATCGTCAGCGTCGTGATCGTACCGAACCGCCGCTTTCTTTTGCAGAACATCCATGCCCGTGGGGCAGTCGCATGCTGTGGTCGCATGTCATCACGTGTCATCCATCTCTCCGAGTGCTTGCTCTTTCGTTTCATATTATACCATATTACACCCACGACGTTAGCCCTTTGAGTTTCGTACGGGACGTTGATCGAGTGATTTGCACTAGAAGAGGAACCTTTGATACTCTGGGAGGAGTTGCATTATCCAATTGCATCATCCCGCGCGAGGCCCGATAGTTGGGCCTCTGCATTATGTAACTAATTGTAACGTTAGCCCTTGCAGGTAAGATATCTTAACCCGCACTATCTTTTGGCCCTAGAACGAACACGTGCTATAAACTCGAGTTCTTCACGGATATCTAACATAATTATACATTACGCACACATACACTTCCGAGTTTGTGATATATTCAACATTTTCAGCATAATCGAAAGTCTGGATGTAATAATTTCGAGTTTCAACGGACGTGAGTGCCGTTTTACCAGGGCAAATTTATTACAGGATACATTTCTTGCTACCTCAACAAAGTAGAGTCCGACCGAAATTTCGGTTTCGGTTTCGGTTTCGGCCATTTTCGGCCTAAAATCCAGATTTCGGCTTGATTTCGGTTTCGGCCGAAATAGAGAGAAAATTTCGGTGACGTAAGCCGAAACCAGAAACTACAGAAGTCGCAACACATCGCGTTGGTCGACGCCAATTGCGCCGACGCGATTTCTTCCTTCTTTATCCGCTCTTTTACTCTCCTTCAAATGTTTAGTGCCTGAAATGCATAACATCGAACGTAACCACTCAAACGCTCATCGGTTGCTAATAGTGTCAAATAGTAATATCCGATTCTCTTGAAGTTGATCTCTTATTTTATAATATTTCTTGATATTTTATTTTATATTGTAACTCGAGTAAAATACTTTTATATCTTGATAAAATATGTATTATAATAAAACCTTACTTTAAAAATGTAAATTTTCTACTAATTTTCAAAATTAGGTATAATCTTTTATAAGATTCTCCAAAAAATTTCGGTTTCGGTTTCGACCGAAATTGAGAGAAAACCGAATATTCGTTTTCGGTTTCGGCCGAAACTAAAAAAGATGGTTTCGGTCGGACTCTACAACAAAGTTTTGCAGGAATCATGGATGACGATCAGCGTCCAGTAAGTATTTTCACATTTATGGATTATCTTATAGATTGATGTTAAGTTCCGATATAAAAGTAAAATTTTCATTGAAAAAGATGTTTGGAACGAGTAAAAAGTTTAATTAAAATTCAGATCAAGATAGAAAAAGAATCTATTTTCAAGTATTTAAGTTCCACTAATTACTCGTTCCAAACATCTTTTCTAATGAAAATAATGTCAAATAAAACACATTCATATATTTATTTTTTCACATTTTAATTATATGCATTATTACTTCCTCTTTGGTCAAATACATATATAATGTATTATATTTCATATACATGTATAGTTCTTTAAAGAATTATACTTAAATGTTGTAACTATTTATTTTGTCTACCCTGTATATTGCTAGTGGTTTCATAAGAAAAGTTAAATGCGATAATGCATCTATATTAATACATAAGACATTTTTTATTAATATGACTATACAAAAACAAACACCATTAAAATCTATATTATAACAGTTGTACCTACTATAGGCATATTAAAATCTTCGATTATTTATTAGTACTGAAGCTTTTTTATTGAAATCTATTCATAATCTGTTCTTATTTAAAGATCATCTTAAGTAATGTCTTAACTTGTCCATTTCGCTCTGTTTAATTCGTTTACAACACATTAAAACTGTACGCAAGATGATCTTAAGAATAAGAACGGACTATGAATACCAGTCTTAGAGATTAAACCAGGAATAAGGTATTACATTTAAATTTTTTGTTTAGTATTAATCCTCATTGGAGTTAGAATCAATTTGATATCATTTTTCACAACATCCACAATATTTATTTTGTCACTCTAACTTAATAATGGTATTAAAATACATCAAACTATAATATAAATCACTTTATCTAAATTTTACAATAAAACTTTAATTAACGTTTTGATTTATCTGCAGAGTTAAATTAACCCTAACATCAGATTCATGTTTTCAAAACAGTGAACTCTATACTATTGTATATTGGAAGACTGTCCTTTTGAAGAAGATATATGGAGTAAGATAGACAAATGGCTGCGTTCAGCAGAAAAAGCTTTATAATTGATATAAAAATCTTAAATTAGATTGGCGTATGCTCTTAATCTTGACAGAATAAGAGCATACTCCAATCAGATTTACGAATTTTACAACAGTTGCAAAGCAGCTTTTTTTGCTGAACGTAGCCAATGGTCCCCATTTCTGTCCCTGTCTAGTAATTCTTCTTTGTTAACGCATATTCTATCTACCGACTTGTATGATCTTTTCTATAAACATCAGACTATTTGCGCAATCAATTCTGTTATAAGCATAAATGTTATTATACAATACCAAAGCAAAGATAAATATGAATATCTAATTTAACATGCATAAAATGTTTATATATATTTGACTCTTTTTAATAATATAAGTTATAATTTAATACTAAATTATACTAATAAAATATAGGTTTAAAATATATTATAAAGAAACTTAATTTGTTTTTAAAAGTTATTAGCATGTATTTTAACATGAGGCTATCTCATTGAAAATAAGTTGTATTTTTTAATAAATATAAAAATGATATCTAATATTTATATATACACTTGCATCTATATTTTCTTTTGATATATTTTGAAAATCTTTTATTTGATTGTGAGACATATGTTCTTTCGGATGTACAATGCACGACAAAAGAGAATAGTCTAAATTCAAAGTGTGTATTATTGATTTTATTATTATTCAAAGTGTCAAATTTTATTTTACATTTTTGCAACTCTAACATTATTACATTAGCTTTACTACCATCATATATTACTGAAAGGACAATAATGTCTGTTTCTGCTAATTTTATAATTGTTTGTTTTATTATTTATGTTTGTAATACTGTTGTAATTTTCTTTGTAATTTTTATGTTTTCTCGCAATCTCTTTCAGAGTATAGTATTATAAGTCCTTCAGTATAGAGTACTTTTAATGAGGATAACAGATTATAAGGATGAGTCATTTTAATTTATCACCCCTAATAACTTGTTTATTTTTAATTTGAGAACAAAATGTTTCAGATAAAAGTTGTTTGGTTTCGAGGGGGACATAAAATGGTTTTATTAATTTGACCTTGAATAGTTGCTTCAAGGTCACGTGAAGGTCACCTTCAATTTTTTAAACAAAACCCCCTATTGTTTATAATATTATCTTATTCTAATTATTAATATGAACAACTTTTGTCTGAAACACTTTTTTCTTTGCCTTATACTTTTTGAGATATTCAAGAGAAAGTTTATAATATTTTTAATGTTTAGCTTCTGATATCTCGATAACTGTTTGTCGGAGGTAAAAGTAGTACAGGACTTTTTTTACTTGATTTGGTCTCAGAAATATGCTGTTGCAATAGCGCTCCAATTATTGAAAGTTTTTATGTATGTAAATTTTATGTGTTACAATATACAAAAATTTTCAATAATTGAAACACTATTGCAACAGCATATTCCTGAGACCAAATCAAGTACAAAAAGTCCTGTACTACTTTTACCTCCGACAAACAGTTATCGAGATATCATAAGCTAAACATTGAAAAAGTTATAAATTTTCTCTTGAATTATCTCAAAAAGTATTAGGCAAATAAAAATGTTTTAGACAAAGTTGTTCATATTAATAAGTAGAATAAGATAGTTTAATAAACAATAGGGGGTTCTACTAAAAAAATTGAAGGTGACCTTCATGTGATTTTCAAGCAACTATTCAAGGTCAAATTAATAAAACCATTTTATGTTCCCTTCGGAACCAAACAACTTTTATCTGAAACATTTTGTTCCCACATTAAAACCAAATAAGTTATTAAGGGTGGTAAAGTAAAATAACTCACCCTGTATATTCAGTATCCTGTGAATGTAATATCACAACATTTATACTAATGTTTCTACATACTTTCAAGAAGTTTTGAATATTTTTTATTTTTTACGTTTTAAGATGACTTGAAAATCTTACAAGCGGAAGTTACGACGAAGAGCTGAAAGAAATGTGTCTAAAATATTTAAAATTTACGAGATCATGAGCAAAGTTAATGCGAGATACATTCTGACAAGTGAGACAAGTGAATCCTTTGATTGCAATATCTCATGTATCAATAGTAGTATAGATGAATGTGAAGTGTGTTCTGTGGAACAAGAGTCCGTGCCAAACAATGATACTTCATCAAATGAAGAAGATGCTAACGATACATTTGACTCATTGCTAAGTACTAATGATGGAAGTGATGATGATACACGTGGTGACACAGGTGTAGAATTTCCCAATAATAATGATGGCAGAAATATTATACAGTTTAAAAATGATGCTGAAAGAGAAGACTATTTTATTGAAACTATTCGTGCGTGGGCATTAGAGGCAGGGCATCTGTCCATGGGAAAACTGAATGATCTTCTTAATAGACTTCGTGTATTTTTTCCAAGAATGCCCAAGAACTACAAGAAACTACTTCACACACCTATTCATATTAATATAGTTGAATTTAGCAGTGGATGTAAGTTTTGGTACAAAAGTATTGTGAGTAATCTGAATGCTATGGATCTGACTGAGTATCTCGAAAGATATAACTGTATCAAGATTGATGTGAGTATGGATGGTTTACCTTTATTCCAAAGTTCGAAGAAGAAGTTCTGGCCTATTTTGGGCCATCTTATTGGTACTGAAAATGAACCATTTATTATCGCTCTATATGTATATGGGTAAGCAAGATCCTAAAAATTCAGCAGATTTCTTAAATGACTTTGTTAATGAGGTTGAAAACTTGCAAGAAAATGGATACATTTACAATGGAATAGCGTACCAGTTTGAAGTTAGAAATTACATAATGGATGCACCTGCTCGATCACTGGTGAAATGCATTATAGGACATTCAGGCTATGCATCATGTGAAAAGTGTACTGTTGTTGGCCAACATGTTGATGGAAGGATGACTTATGTGCAACTAGATAAACCTCTGAGAACAGATCAGTCTTTTCGTAATATGAGTCAGCGACTTCATCATACTGGTGTGTCTGTCATCTCGAGAATTGCTGGCATATCTCAGTTTCGCCTTGATCCAATGCATTTGATTTGGCAAGGGGTTTGGAAGAGACTGCTTAAAACATGGATTTTATGGAATGGACCTTGGCAATTAGGAATGAATGCAGTGCGTGAAATATCTACTATTCTTGAAAATGATTTGTCTCAAACATGTCCGCAAGATTTTGCTAGGCCTCCAAGATCATTAACAGAATGGAATTTGTACAAAGCTACTGAGTTCCGACGGATGTGTCTCTATGATTCTTGTATTCTTGTATTCAGGAAGTATCTTCATGAAAACGTATACAAACATTTTCTCTTATTGCATTGTGCTCTTTATATTCTCTCTAGTTCAGTACTGGTTCGTTCAATGCTAGAAACTGCCAATGAATTGTTACGGCTTTTTATACGCCATTCTGTCAATATTTACGGACAGAAGTTTGTAGTATGTAACGTTCATGTTCTTTGTCATCTTACTACTGAGTGTGCCGCGCATGGACAGCTGGAACACTTCAGTGCTTTTAAATTTGAAACTAGATTAAAATCCCTTAAGGCAATTCTCCGCTCAGGATATCAACCATTGCAGCAAGCAGCTTATAGAGATATTGAAAGGTCTAGACATGTTACTGTTCGTCTGCCTCCTAATGGTACGCATGTTACTTTTTTTCAGGAGCATAGAGATCCAAATGACGTCATGATTGGTAGGCATTTCAAACGAATATCCATTGGAAAAATTTTTTCCAACTAGGAAGAAAAGATTCATGCTTTCGAACTGTTGGTAGAGACATTGTTCTATTGACAAACATTGTTCAGAATCAAGATGGTATTTTTATGATTGGAAATACATTCCTCAATGTTGAGAATTTCTACACATATCCTCTGAACTCATCAATTCTAGGGATTGTCCGTGTATCTGAAAAAAAACATGTTAAAAGAAGTTTTGCTCTGACAGAGGTAGAGTCAAAATGTTGGTTAATGTCAGATGATGATGCATATCTATGTATGCCTCTCTTACACACGATATCCCTATTCTAAATACTGATATATTCTTTTCTGCCCTATCTAATTTATTTTGTTCTCTCCCTCTATCTCCTTTCCTTATATCTTATTTCTCTATTCTCACTTCTCCCTCTTCCCTATTCTCTTTCTTTTTCTATTTCTCTCATCTACCATTCTCTAACAATCATCCTTTCTGCTACTATATGTATATTTATGTAAACTTCTTTTCGTGCTATCTTTAGTTTGTAGTCATCAAATTTATCAACGAAACAAAAAATGAATCAAATGACGACACAGATTATGAGGTGGGACTGGCCAAATGGATTACCGACTTAAACGAGGACATGATTGGCATGACAAAATGGCCTCCTCCTTCTATAAATGCTGGAAAACTTATAAGAAGGGAAGTTTCCTCAAATCCAAATTGGCCATTGTGTTGTGTTGAGGTAATAAGGTATTTCGGTAAGTCTGGTTGCGGTTTTATGAATCATGATAGTGATTTTAGTCCTAACTCTTGACTGTAACTTAGCCTAACTCTTGCCATTATTGCTTTGTTTGCACTCAGAAACTATCAAGAAAGCTAGGGAGATGTTGAAGAAATTGGTAGATGAAAGACTAACTTCCTACGAGACTGAAAAAGAATTAGGTCGAGGTAAAAGAAAGAAACGACCACGTACTATATATACTGAGGATAGTGATTCAGATGTACCAATCCACAATAAAAAGAAGCAGTCTCTGTCAGATGACAGCGGCTCAGATTCGGTTCAACATAAGAAAATTAAGAAGTTCAGCAAGTCAAGGGATACGGTTAACAAAGATATACCCCCACCACCACCATTGTCCTTTCAACACAGAAGTATAAGCCCAAATCAGAATGACAGAAACAGAAAAATTATTGCGACTGTGGCACACAAAAGCACAGGAACTACTGTACCTTTAATTGAGAAAATCAAGAGTGGGCAAACTAACCGGCAAGAACTTTTTCAAGAACTAAAAGAAGGGTATCTAAAAAATACGTTTAAGAAGCAGAAAAGTACAAAAACTGTTCCTCAGCCAAATGTCAAAAGTCCTTTAAGGGTAAATGCTACACTACATCAGGAGAACATCAATAATATGGGGGATGAGAAGGAAAACGTTATTGATGAGTCTGAAGTTCAGTCCAACCTTGGAATCTTTTCTGAATGGCAAAATTCTTTCAACAACTCAGAGTCAAGATACACAGAAGTGGTTCGCCCAAATAGTTCTACACCTTTGAAGTCTCCATTATTGCACAATAAGAATCCTAGAAATGAAATCTCTCGTCCTCAGCTGTTTAGTTGCCAACAGGAAATTTCACAAAATGCTAATGATATTGATAGTCTTTCCTCTGGTAATTATGTTATGGTTATTGGTAGTTATGTTAGTCCTATTTATACCTTTATGTTAATTATTGTTTAATTTCAGATATCAGTAAGAGGATTAAAGAAATAAAATCTCTATGCAAAACTACACTTGTGCGAGTGGAAGAAATGAGCAGTAAAGTTGATGTCACAATTATGAATCAGGTGCGACTCAACCGGTCTCTCCTTCCTGCTGATAAGAGAATTATTCGTCCATCAGATCTCCCGGCTCTTCCTATCTACACAGAGGATGGTTTGAAAACTATGGAAACATTTTTGGAAGACGACTCCAATTTATGAGCAACAGTAAGTTTAAAAATGTTTTGTATTGATTTTTTCCATATAATATGGAGTCTCTGTGTAAATATATATCCGAAAATAATGACTGATTTTTATGTATTTTTCCTATACATTCTTAATTCTTCTTGTTTTATGTGTTGCGACGCTTAACTCTTCCGTCCTCCCGTTATACGTGGACGGACGTGCGTTGCCATCCCGCTCTCGCCGTCGCGCGGATCTTCGTCGGTTGTGCGCGCCGACGACGGGAGTGCTGTCGCCGAGCGCGAGAAGTACGGGAGGCGGACGGATCGAGATGCCGGCAAAAAGGGGAAGGAATCCCGCGGGAAAATGATAACGCGCCGGGAAGGAACTGGATGTCGGTAGCTCCGCGCGTACCGTGCCGAAAGCCGAAGGTCCGACGCGATAACCGAAGACTGGGCGCCAGACGCGGTCTTTCACGCGTCACGTCGCGATATCCGCGAAATTGCGCGAACGATAGTTATCGGCCTTCGTCACGGGCAGGCTAGCTCGCCTAACGGTAGAGGGGCTGGGCGGTGGTTGACGGACACCAAAAGATTTCAGAGGCGACGGGACGATTGACTCTCCCGACGGACGAGACACACGAAGAGTGACGTACACGAAAAGAAACTCGCAAAATAAAATAAATAAAATCGGGTTTAATGTAAAGCGGCGTTAACAAGCCGGTTGAGTGGCCGCAACAACGGGCGGCGCCGTAGGTGAAAATAGTACAGGCCCCGAGATCGGGGAATCAATCCGCCGCGATCTTCGATGCGATACGGAGCAATCCGGCGCGAACCCAACGGTAGGAATTGTCCCCGCACACGATGTACCCGCTCAAAAGACACGGACGCATTCAACAATAATTTCTTCGCGAACGGTACGAATACCGTCGCAAACGCGACACTCGGCCGGGGCGCTTCGCCCGCGAGACTGGG